TAACACACATATATATATATATATATATATATATATGTATGTAATAAAATAAAACTGTCTTGCTATTCCTTCCGTACGGATGCCGTTGCGCGGTGGAGAAGGTGAGGTGTGTCATGACGCGTATCCACCGCTTTATCGACGGGCCTCGGAGACGCACCGGATATCACCTCTCATCATCTTTCCCATCGCATCGCCAAAGGGGCTCTTTCTTGTTTTCTTGTTTTCTTGTTTTTTCTTTTATTGTTGGACTGCTGAGTTCGACCTGAAGTACACACACACACACATACAAAGCGCCTTCCATTGGGAGGTAAGACGCACACGGACACACCGTGTGTAAAGTGGGGATTGAAGAAATAAATCGCATTGAGCATTTGAATAATACGAATACTAATAGAACCGCCGCTGTTGAGTGCTACGGCACGTATGGCGTCAGAGGACAGCGCGTCTGCCGCCGCCGCGGCAACGGCTGCGTTGGGAGCCGAAGCACGCGAAGAGAGAATTGACTTCTCCCAGCTGCATCCAAGTGTTCGTTTCTACCGTGGCATGTGGAAACTGACCCAGCTTACCGAAGGCGACGAACACAGCCCACCCAAGGCAGACGCGGCTTCTCCATCCAGCAGACATGACGTCCTGCCTGCATCGTCATCGTCATCGCCGGCGTCGACGGCTACACATTCTGTCGCTGCCTTGTCTGTTGTCGCGCTGCATCAACAGCTTCTGCCTCCGGCGCCCTCCAACGGTTTAGGCGAGGTCGCAGATGAGAGCTACGCGGCGCAGCTCGCTACTTCTGACGGTATTGAGCTGCTGCGCGTGCACTGGCATTTACTGCTGCCGCTGCTATTTCCGTGTTCGAGCTGCACTTCCACGCACATGGAAGGAGAGGCCATCGCGTGTTTACCGGTCGATAAAGTCACGGCGACGCAGACCTGTGAGGAGGTGTTTTGCAACGGGAAAGAAGGCACAGCACCGGAGAGCCGCTGGACCCCGCAAGAGTTGTACACGCGCGTGCGGCGGCCACTCTCCGTGGTCGACGTGGAAGTGGTTCGCGTGCCCGGGCTCATGGATCGCATCTACTACAGCTACATTGTGTTGCTCCGCTTCTTCGGCTGGCGAGTGCACGACGAGGAGCGCGGCCTACTCGATCGTAATCGGGCCTGGGCGGTGCGGTACGCGTTGCTGGAAATGTACCGCGCAGGCGGTGGGGTGGAGGAGCCGAGTCTGACCGCCTCATCCGCCGGGCAGCTGCCGCCGCCCCCGACCTACGCTGATTTTAACTTTTACGCGGACGGCTTACCCCGTGTGCTGCGTGGGCTGCTCGACGTTGGCTTCTTACGCCTGGCTGTGCGTCTGTTGGAGTTTGTGATGGAGGAAATGAAGTCGGACCGGTTGTGTTTTCTGCTTCCCTTGGTGGAGGACACGCTGCTGCCGCTGCTGACGGAGCATCCGAGCGTGGAGGCCAGCCACAAGACACGTCTAAAGAGGCAGCTGTATCGGCTGACGCACAGCGACTCAGACTAACATGACGTCCATGCGTGGCGTTCAACAAACGAACAAGAATAACGGAGAAACACAGCTCCTATCAAGAGGAAAAATCATCATTAATGTCACGCAGCACACAAGCACAACGTTGACGTTTCACACTTCGAGGTGGCGTATTTAAAAAAGGATGGTCATCACTCTTCACGTCAAACCTCAGGAGGAGGCTTTCATTTTTCGTCGCTTGAAAGGCCATTCATGGACGTCTTCGAGCTTTTCGCTGCTCCCTTCTATTCTCCATTTCTCTTCCTCTTTCACCGGCTACGCCGCGTTGTGCGTTGTACACGCCGCTGTGGAAACGTTCAGGCACAGAAGGGACATTGATTATTGTTGCTGGTTTCAACGACCGGCGTTTCTCTTGTCTAACGCCGAAAAAGGGCCCACCAGCGCGAACAGCTCACGGTGGTACTTGTTTTTGTTGAAATCGTGGTCTCCTGAATCATCTTCCTGAGATCGTTGCCATCTTCTCTAAGACGCGGCCGTCGCAACTGCCCGCCCGCGCCACACAACCCCTGGTGGCAAGGTGTATCCCATCGCTTTTATCATTTTTTGCTTTCTCTGCTTTTCTGGTTGACCGCGCATCAACATTTATCGTTATTATCGTCGTCGTATTGCGCCCCTTCACCAGCATTTGTTCCTGACAGCATGCGACGCCAGCTTTTTCGCCGCAGCGCCGTGCTGCTGCAGATGGGCATGGGTGGTGGTGCTGGAGGCATGTCGTCCTCCAACACGCCGATCCGCCCCAGTCAGACCGTCAGCTACACCAACGCGATTCACGTGGAAGCAGAGCGACGCCGCAAGATGGAGGAAGACACACGCAGCCGCTACTACGTCGTCAAGGAGGACATCCGCGAGAAGCGTGGCACCGGGCGAATGATCGGCATCGACCTCGGCACGACAAACAGCTGTGTCTGCTACATCGACAACGCGACCAAGAGGCCGAAGATCATCCCGTCCCCGACCGGGTCTTGGGTCTTTCCGACTGCAATTACCTTTGACAAAAACCACGAGATCCGCATGTTCGGCGAGGAGGCGCGGGCCTGCGCACGGACGAGCGCGAGTGCGACGCTCTGCAGCGGCAAGCGACTAATCGGCCGCAGCTTCGGTGAGCTGGGCCGCGTGCAGTCTGACCTCAACAAGACGAACATCCTCACGGTGAACGAGAAGGGCGAGGTGGCGGTTGAGATTATGGGCCGCACGTACACCGTCGTGCACATCATCGCCATGTTTCTCCGGTACCTGAAAAGCGAAGCGGAGAAGTTTCTCGGCGAGGAGGTGCAGCTGGCGGTCGTGAGCGTGCCGGCGTACTTCACGCCACAGCAGAAGGTGGCGACGGAGGACGCGGCGCTGTGTGCCGGCTTCGACGTGCTGGAGATCATCGACGAGCCCTCGGCGGCCTGCCTCGCCTCCACCGTGCTGGAGCAGCTACGGCGCGATGCAAACGAACAGACGACGGAGGAGCAGAGACCGGTGAAAGCAGCGGCATCAGCAGCAGCGTCGTCCTCGGTGAAGAAGGACGCGGCGGACACGCTGGAGACTGCATCTGCGCCGTCCGATGCGCCGTCAAAGCGGTACATTCGGTCTCTCGTCTTCGACCTGGGTGGCGGCACCTTGGACTGCGCCGTCATGGAGCACGACTGCTACCGGCAGAAGTTTAACTTAGTCGCCACCCACGGCGACCCGATGCTAGGTGGCAATGACTGGGACACGGTGCTCTCCCAGCACTTCGCGAAGCAGTTCGAGCGCAAGTGGCACGTCCCGATCGAGGAGGAGGAGGGCAACGTTGGACAGGGCGTGGCGGCTTTCCGCAATTTAACCCTGGAGGCGGAGAAGGCCAAGATCCACTTCACGCATTCTACGGAGACGTACTACGGCTACAACCGCGCCTTCCACTTTTCGCAGAAGCTGCGCGATATCGTACCGCTGGAGGCGACGCTGACGCACGAGGAGTATGTCTCCCTGACCCGTCCGCTGCGCGTGCGCTGTCTGCAGTGTGTCGAGAAGCTCTTCGAGCACACCGGCTTCACTGCGGCAGACATCGACCGCATCTTGCTCGTCGGCGCCATGACCCGCGACCCTCCGATTCGTCACATGCTGCAGGAGTACTTCGGCAAGAAGGTCGCGCAGGAGGACACGTGCCCGGCAGACTACGCCGTGGCCCTCGGCGCTGGCATTCGCGGTGGCATGTTGCAGGGCAGCTTCCCCGAGCTGACGGCGAACACGCGCTTTGTGAGCGGCACCGTCCAGTCGCTCCGGGAGGGCGGCGGTGTGCTGCGGCAACTGTGGCGCAGCGTGCGGCGGCTTACGAGCACCGCCAACCCGAACGCGATCGGCACGCGCTGGCGTGGACGGGCCAAAGGACTCGTGGATGAGGAGATCGCGAACTATGCGAAGGAGCTGGTGGAGTTCGAGGCCGCCTGCGCCCGCCGCCTGCTGCTCGAGCGGGCGGAGAGTGAGGCGAACTTTGTCATGCGCCGTGTGTCGGCCGACTCAAACCGGAAGCAGGGCATGCAGGAGCGGCGCATTATGCAGCTGAGTGAGCAGCTGAAGTTTTGGCAATACATGGTGCACAACTTCCACGATCATGAAGAGGAGCTGCTGCGGGTGGTGCGGCAGCTGCAGGTGGCGCTGGACGAGTTGGACGGGCTGGCGGCCGACAACGTGCAGGGCATAACGAACCAGGGCACGATTGACTTCTCCAAGACGGTGGCGAAAACGCTGCGGAGTATGTCGGGTAAAGGTACCACCGCAGCGGAGGAGGGGGAAGAGGACGAGGAAGAGGGCGAGCGCGCTGGTGTCACACGTGCAAAGGCATCGTCCGCGGAGACGCAAGAGCCGTCGCCCCTTTCGTCCTCATCTTCCAACTCGCCGCCGCCCAAAATATTGCGTCGCCGTGCCCCATTGCCGGCTGCCGCGGCCGCTGCGCAGTCGCTCGTCGAGGCCGGCCACCCAGCCCTCCTCAACGCGGACATCGAAGTCGCCGAGTCGGCGCGGAACTCGTTTCTGCAGGCGCAGGTGGAAGAGCGCGCGTGGCACGAGCCCCCCGCCCCACCCGGCGAGGCAGGCTCGTGGACGGAGGTGAAGGCGGCCGTGGACGCTGGGGAAGTCGTTGGGGCCCCCGTGCCGTGGAAAGATCTGCTGCGGCCCATGACCATGACGGAGATGCAGGAGATGCTGGAGAAGTACTACGCGATCGACGCCCCACCGACGCCCGAGCATGCGGCGAAGCGGGATGAGGCGACGGACCTGCAGTCCATGACCATCGTGCGGGGTGCGGTCGACATGGCCGCCATTGAGGCAGGTCTGGCGAGGCATGAGCAGGATGTGGCGGCGGCGGCGAAGGAGGAGGAGCGCAGCACGAAGGAGCACAATCGCGAGCTGTCCGCGCGCATGTATCGTTGAGGTGAGGCTGCCGGGAGAGCGATAGAGAAAAACTCTGAGTGTTTCAGTTTACTGTCGTTGTCACTGCGTAGTTCGTTTCACAAGTTTTCACTTCCCTTATTTACTTAGAAAAGCACATCAGCGTCATTTCAATAAAGCGGAGAAGCGGGAGACGCAGGCGATGTCGCTCACGCCTTTTTGAGAGTGAGAATCAACTGCACCGTCACCTCCGCGTGATAGCCCAGAGGGACTGCATGCGGAGACACAGACAAATCCAATCAAACACCCCTAAAACGCATACACACCAATTCTTGTTTGTTCTCAAGCCGGCGCGCGTTTCTTTTCTTTGTTGTAGCAAAAAGAAAAAACTGGTAGTGTGCTTCTGCTTTGTCAGTCGTATGGATTTGCTTTGACTATTTCCACTTCCTTCGCATCTCTTCCTTCTTTCTGCCTTCAACTCATCGTTCCCCTAAAAAATGAACGTCAACTTCGACTGCAACACTTTTCGCAGCCACCGAATAGAGAATATATATCCACAGTCACGATGCCCGCCGATAAGAACTACGCGCTGAAGCAGGTGCAGACCTTCGGCAAGAAGAAGACGGCCATCGCCGTCGCCACGGTCACCAAGGCTGCCCAGTGCAACATCAAGGTGAACGGCGTGCCGCTGCAGCAGATCCTGCCCGATACGCTGCGCGCGAAGATCATGGAGGCTATCAACGTGGTCGGCTCCAAGTTCTACTCGCGCCTGCGCATTGACGTTACGGTGCGTGGTGGTGGTCAGGTGTCGCAGGCGTACGCCGCGCGCCAGGCGATCGCGAAGGGCCTCGTGGCGTACTTCCAGAAGTACCACAACGAGGTGGAGAAGGCCGCGCTGAAGGACAGGTTCCTCGCCTACGACAAGTTCCTGCTGATCGCCGATCCTCGCCGCTGCGAGCCGAAGAAGTGGGGCCGCCACTCTGCCCGCACGCGCTTCACGAAGTCGTACCGGTAAGTCCATACACCGTCGACGGCGACAGCACCGCAGCGTCGCCCTCGAGTTCGTCCGCCGTCTTGTGTGCTTGACCGTCATCGTTTTCTGAGGGCAGTGAATGGGAATTCCAATCTCTGTGGTTTGTGCGCGCACCCAGGGCTTGTTCTCACGTATGCACGTCATATTTCGTGGCGAGCGGAAAGGTTTCGCTGAGCTGAATACCAATTGGTATGACTTTGTGATCTTTCTTTCCTTCTCTCTCTCTTATCTTCTTTAGTGGAGTGTGAGAGAGTCGGTGAGGACAGCCGTGGCGTGTTGGCGCGCAATTGGCTTCTTTCCATTATTTCGTATGATTTCTCCTAAAAAGTAGTCAAAAATAACAAAAAGCGAATTGAAAGTTTGGGGTGTGTGTGACGTCTTGCTTGCGGAGGAGTGCCGCTGAAAGGGGTGTTTAGTACGACAGGCGGGAAAGTCGCCTGATGGCGGCTGCTCACCAACTTGAGCTCCTCTGTGTTTCCTCTCCCCTCTTTCTAACAAACGTTAAACGGTGGTCTTCAACTTTGTACGTGTATCAGACAGCGGCTTCTGTGCTTCGTGTGAAGCGGGACAATACAGAGGCGCACGTCTGCTACGGTTCTTTTTTTTTTCTTTGCCTCACGTTAGTAAGAAGCACCGAAGGCCCTTTTCTTTCTCTGCTGCCGTTCTCTCGCTATCAAACGCACAACCCTGAGCGTCGTCGCTGCCAACTCGTTGTGTCGTTGTGGGACCAGTCTTTTGCTACGCCGCTTTCCTGTTCCCCGTCTCCACTTCTCTCTTCTGACTTTTATCTGCCTTTTCCGCAACGCATTCTTTTCTGAACACACATAAATCTAAATATATTATAAATATGCGTGTGTGTGTGTGTCTCATCCACACAAACAAACACCTTCTTTTTTTCTTCACACGTACACTTCCGTGCTCGTGCACCAACTGAACGCCTTCTCTTGTTCAACAAACGCAAAGATAATTTCACTCGGTTCATTATGCCCGCCGATAAGAACTACGCGCTGAAGCAGGTGCAGACCTTCGGCAAGAAGAAGACGGCCATCGCCGTCGCCACGGTCACCAAGGCTGCCCAGTGCAACATCAAGGTGAACGGCGTGCCGCTGCAGCAGATCCTGCCCGATACGCTGCGCGCGAAGATCATGGAGGCTATCAACGTGGTCGGCTCCAAGTTCTACTCGCGCCTGCGCATTGACGTTACGGTGCGTGGTGGTGGTCAGGTGTCGCAGGCGTACGCCGCGCGCCAGGCGATCGCGAAGGGCCTCGTGGCGTACTTCCAGAAGTACCACAACGAGGTGGAGAAGGCCGCGCTGAAGGACAGGTTCCTCGCCTACGACAAGTTCCTGCTGATCGCCGATCCTCGCCGCTGCGAGCCGAAGAAGTGGGGCCGCCACTCTGCCCGCACGCGCTTCACGAAGTCGTACCGGTAAGTCCATACACCGTCGACGGCGACAGCACCGCAGCGTCGCCCTCGAGTTCGTCCGCCGTCTTGTGTGCTTGACCGTGCTTTGGCTCAGCGCTGAGTGAAAGAGTCATCGCGGCGTAGAACGACACGAGGAAGAAGAGCAGCGAGGCGAAGAAGTCGTGGTGCTCTCTCTTCTCGCGTACTACGCCCGTGTGTTATCCTTCAAAGTACTTTTTTAGTTTCTCGTTTCCATTTATCTTCAAAAAACCCCAAAAACGTTTTTGAAATAGTAGCGTCCGGCGTGCTCACTCTGGTCTTTTCCCCCCGTGCTCTCTTACAGGGACACAACCTCTCTCTCTCCCTCCTTGTATGCGTGACCTATCTGGGGTGATGCAGTAGCCCCCAAACAGACACGCGCCTCACAACAGCAACGTGGGAAGGACCGCGAATGCAAAGTGATGCGAGGAGAGAGTGAGACACCAGAACAGAGAACCGCGTTGAATCCCTTCGTCACGTGCAGCTTTAGGTTGAGCTATTCGATGGCATTTTTGAGAAGTGAAGCAGACTTTTATGTGGCGCTTCAGCGTCGCCGTGACTTCAATGCGGTTCGCACCTCCTCCGCGTTTTCTCTTTTCTCTTCATTCGTTTGGTCGTCGTTTTCTCTTCCACGCAGCCTGCTATTCGCTTAAATTGACGGTCATCGCTCTCACAACGCAGCGGCGCGTAGTAGAGAGCAAAGTTTGGGTATATATATGTAAAACATAAACTTGTTTCCTTTCGCAGGTGTGCCGTTTTGAAGAAAGCGGAGGCCTATCCATACAGTCAGACGCACCCACTCAAACAAACGCATTCACAGAATTAATTTTTCGACTTACTTTGGCGGGAGCCGCTCACAAACTGCTGCTGCTGCTGAAGTGCACTGTGGCAGCTGCCTCTAGATAGACAAAGAAGGAAGAACAGGTACAACACATACATCCTGCACGCCACAAGAACAACAAACGAAGAAGATGCTTCAGGTCGTCTCTATGGGAGAAATTGTGCAGGACCCGGCCTGCTACGCCGTCCTCGCCGGCAAACCCATCGTCTTCCCGGATCACTACACCATCAACCGTGCCGTCTTCGTGTCTCCCACGTCCAACGCCAAGCCCACTCTTCTCTACAAGGACACCTCCACTGGTGACGCGGCGGCCGCGATGGACAAACCGTTCTTTGTGGCTACCGTCACCGTCATCGCCGCCACCGCGGACACGGACGGCGCCACGTTGCATTTCCACATCATCCGCAGCGACAACCCGACGGAGAAGGTGTACAAGGCCACCAAGTCAGCCACCACGGTCTGGCGCGTGGCGCTCGAAGACGCCGCGAGGGATTTTCCAGACCAGAAGGAGCAGCTGCTGGCCACGTGCGATTCGCAGGGTCGCCTGCAGGTCAACGGGGTTCGTTTCTACGGTCTTCACATGAAGGAGGTGCAAGAGGAGCTGATGGCGCTCCCCGGTGGAGCTGCTGCCTTTCAGAACGCCGCCGCGGCGATGGTAGCAGCGAAACAGCAACATCAGCAGCAAACTGGGCATGATCACACCTCGCCCCCGGCCTCGCAGCCCTCGCAGGCGACCACAAAGGCAGCTAAAAAAAAGCTCTCGTCGCCTTCGCCTTCGCGCGTTGTACCGAAGGCAAAGCCAGCTTCTCGCAAACGAACCAGCCGCCCCACCTCCGCCGACATGGCCGCTTCTCCCGCGAGTACCAATGGCGTAACCGTTACATCGGTGGTTGAGGACGTTCCGTCGGTCAGCAACAGTCAACCGCCACCGGTGGTGGCCGTCGTCACGCCGACAAAAACAAAACGACCACGAAAGCCAAAAGCAGACGGTGCTGCCGCTTCGCACGAGCCGAGTGTCACGGTGCGAGAGGCAATCGAGGGTACCGAGGACGTCAGCGGCGCCGCCCTGCCTGCGAAGCGCCGTCGTCCCTCAGTCAAGCAGAACAGTACTATGAACAGCAGCGGTGTAGGCGTTGCCCCAGCTTCCGCGCCGGCGGCGGTCTGCCCAGCTTGTGGGCTGGCCGGCACACCATTCTGCGCCGCCACCGGCAAGCCGCACGATGTACCGCCCTGCCCCGCCTGCGGACTTCACACCGCGTTCTGCCCCGTCTCTGGGCAGCCGCACGCGGGTGCGATGCAGCGCGAAAACCGGCAGCGCGGGGAGGTGCATCTGCCGGGCACATCGCGTAAGCCTCGACGCAAGGCCGCAGCGGGCAAGGCAGGTCCGCCAGCGGCGATCGATGAGAGTGTGGCAGAGGTGACCGTCGTCAGCACTCAGGACGGGAGCGGCAACCTTGCCAGTGGAGACGCCGCAACGCAGCAGAAGCAGCCGCGCAAGAGGCGCGTGCGTACACCCTCTACAGCGGAAGGCAGTGGCGCGGCGGAGGGAGGTGCCGCCGATGCTCTTGCAGTGGCGGCGACCGCACAGGGGGATGCACCGGCCCGCACACGGCGTGGCCGCAAACGTGTGAAGGAAGAAGCAGCAGCAGCGACGGCCGCGGTGGCCTCTGCATCGGGGAATGCAACCGACCCTGCAGGGGGTGCAACTTCCACCGCAGCAGCGACATCAGCGAACGGTGCTGCGGCGATGCCTGCGGCACCTCCTGTCGTCTTAGAAGGTGACCAATCCCTCTTTGAACTCGCCAAGGAATCGATCTACCTTTACCCCCCGCTACGCCCCCCGCTGTCGACGCGGGAGCACCACAAGGCCGCCCTGCTGCTGCAGGAAAGCTGGAAGGCGCAGTACGGCGAGGGCCCGGTGCTGCCGCCGGCGGTGGCGGCCGTGCCGCTGGCGTTTGTGGCCGTGAAGCGCGCCGTCGGCGCTGCGGAGGCACGCGGGGGGAGGGCAACGGCATCGAAAGGGCGTCGACGAGGTCGTGGTGGCGATGATGATGCCGCTCCTACCACAACCGTCAAAGAGGAAGAGGGCAACCACAAGATCAACGACAACGAAAGCGCAAAGGTCAGCAACCCGGACGACGCGAGGGACGCGGCGGCGCAGGAGCCCCCAGCAGAGGGGACGGAGGGTGAAGAGAACAGGACGGCGCGCAGCAGCGCTGTGGGCAGCCCCACCACGGCGTCCACGGCGAGCGCCGCTCTGCCGTCCATGGTGCACCCGCTGGAGGTCATGCAGCTGTCGTCGAGCGCAGCAGGGAAGCGGCTGGTGCGGTTCCTCCTGCAGTACGCCAGCGAGCGGAGTCAGTTCGATCTCCTGCGCAGCAACGCAGCAGCGGTGGCGGCAGCTGGCGGCGGTGCAGAAAAGAAGAAGTCAACAAAAGGGAAAGGCCAGGTGAATGGCGAGGGGGCCGAGGAGGGCTGCGATGCGGTGCCGAAGGCGGACGACGACAACACCGGTGCGGATGTGGAGACTGCTCACACGACGCACGCGGATACGACGATGAAGATGCTGCAGTCAGAGCCTCGGGACGAGGTGGGCGCGTCGGCAGATGAAGAAGTGATGGAGGAAGGTGCTCGGGTGAAGGAGGAAGGCAGCGCGGTGGAGGCACAGTAGAACCTGGCCACGACGCAGGCATCGCTTTTCCTTTTTTGGGGAGGTTTCACCGTTTTCCCGGGTTTTTTGGTTTGGTCTGTTGCGCCGTTGATTGTAGGCGCTGTCGTGCAACAGCATTATAGAATCAGAGGTTACAGACATACACCATAATCGCTTAATGAGGCAAGAGCAGAAGTCTACTCGTACATGTCAACAGAAGGGGAAACGTCGAGCTGCGGCTGCGGTCCCTAAAAAAGAAAGGTGAAAGACAGAGAAAACAAGAATTTTCTCGTTCTACGCAAATGTGCTGCACATCCACGGCACACATACCAAATAAATAACGTTAGTAATAATAACAATAATAATAATAATAATAGCGCAATTTCTGATATGCCAACTTCGACTCATCTACGCATCTTTGATTGTTTTTGTTTGCAAGTTCACGTGTTCGGGTATTTTCTCTACGGTTCTTCTTCCTCATCCCCGTTTATCCACTTTTCTCACTCTTCTATTCTCCTTCTTTGCTTTTATTATTATCATCTACTGAACTTTACGGAAGCCACAGAAACAAGCGAAGCGCCTTACGCTTAGCATTATCGTTCTTTATAGTGCACAAGGTAGACCCCCCCCCCTCCGCCAACGCCAACGCCAACGTCCCAGCAGCTGCTCAAAGGAAGAAGGGCAGAACTTTATCTCCGTTGTTTGCTTCTCTCTTACTTCACCTTTGACGAATCTTTCACGTTTTGTTCTTTTGTTTTCTGATGTTTGTTGTTGTTTGTTCTGCATTCTACTTATCCTTTCCTTCTCGATTTGCTCGCTGTCTTCGCGTGTTTTGAACGCACAGAAGGAAGGCCTAGTTTTTTTTCCTTGGAAAATCAGCGGTTTCGGAGTGAATCAGCAACGGGTGTCATAATCACACAATATAATATATATATCAGAATTCCCACTGTCGATCTCGGGTAACGGATCTATATTCGCAAATACATATATACACATATGCTCCTAAAGCTGTCTCCCTCTCTATGTGTTCTTCTTCCCGCTTTCCCTTCTACACGCTTTCGATCACCTATGCATCTTATGTCGACTGCTTCTGTCTCACATGAACGCTTCTGTTTTTTTTTTAATTCTTCTTTTGCGTGTGCGTTTCAATTAGCGAAACGGTGGTTACCTCGTCAAGCTGCTCAGCTACATTTTTTTTGTTTTTCGTCCTTGTCATCATGGCCTTCCACCTCTCCACTGTTGTGGCGTACATGTGCGGTGTGGAAGTGCCAGAGCTGCAACTTTCTTTCTTTCTTTCCAATGGAGTAGAGCCCCTAACGGGAGAGGCGTCGACGGAGGGGCAGACATCCGCGACGTTGACGGAGAGGAGTACAATGAACATAGCGGATCAACGGAGAGGCGCGACGCCAGCGAGCGGAGGTAAACCGTCGAGGTGCGCGGAGTGGATGTGGCGCGTGCGAGGGGCGTTTGTGACGTCGGTGCGAGCGCAGAAGGACACGATCATTGCGGCTCCACCTCCACCAAAAGCGACCAGGAAGAGAGATAGCGATGCGATGTGCTGGTGCGATACCATTGCTTCGCAGAATCATCACATGTCCTGCGATGCCCTCGCTGAATGTCTGCATCCAAGTGAAACGGTGCCGCTGACGGAAGTGGTGGCTCAGTCGCTGCCCTGTCTCGGCTGCACACCGTTCGTCACGTCCGCGTTGCCGTCTTCCTCCTCTTCCTCCGAAGCGGACGAGCTGCGATGGGGTGTGCCGTGTTGGCCGATGTGCACCATCACCATACCTTCTCAAGAAACAGGAAAAACAGAGAAGACGTTGATGACCGATGAGGACGGCGATGGGGCTGCGCCGGCGAGCTGCGCGGAAGACGAATATTGTTTTCACGAGGTCGGTGACACATCTTCGCACGACGTGGCTGGAAAGGAGGGCATTGCGGCATCACCAACAGTGCTGACCTCGGCGATGACGGAGGCCCAAAACGGCGATGAGCGCTGCGGCGGTGAAGGAGCACCTCGACTGGCGGTGCGTGTGGGCGGGAGTCACGCCGCAACCTTTCGCGATCCGGCCCCCTCGCTGTCTTCGTCGTTGCCCTCATCTGTTCCGCCGCCTCGATCGCTTCTGCTGCCGGACATGGTCTGCCTCCGTCACACGTTGCCCCCGTACTCCTCCACGGCGCCCTCTTCGCTGTCTTCCCGCACGGTAGCTAGCGCCAGCACTAACGATGAACCGACTGTAGAATTGTTGCTCATTGCAGTGGAGTCGCTGCCGGAGCTGTGGGAGACACGTCGCCAAGGACTGCTGCTCTATACGAAGGTCCTCCTCCACCTCTACGCTACGGCAATGGCACGCGCGTCCGCACGCCGTCCATCCAGTGAAGAAGGAGAGGACGGTGCGAGCGCAGGCCGGTCGGCGCTGCCGTCATTACAGTGGCGGTGCGAACTGTGGACGCCGCCGGCGGAGGGCAGGGCTGCCGGGTCATCACAACTACCACCCACATCCACCGCAGCAGCGAACATCGACGGAACTGTTTGCCGCACGGTTGTTCAATCCGGATTGTTCTCCCCGTACACCTCCAGCAGGAGCGGTGTCGCTTCTCCACCTACCTCGCTCGGCGAGGGGTCTGCTACGACTCCTTCTATTCCTGACTCATTAGGTCTGCGCGTCGTGGATCGTGTTGCTCGGCCCTCCAAAGCAGCATGTGTACCGTCGCCGGTGCTGTACCCACGGCTGGGTGATCTAACAGTCCATTTACGCACTTTTTGCCGGTGGTGGGAGGACATGGAGCAGCTTGCACGGCAGCTCACGAGCCCGACCGTGTCGCGTCCCACCGCCGCCATCGACGCTGGCCAGGCGTTATCGGAAACAGCAACGACGGCGTCGGACACGACAACGAAGAACAACCTCTCAGACGAACGTGGCGCAATTGACATGCCGGGCGATGACACAACGTGGGCGCGCAACACTGTCGAGCAGCTTTTGTGGTGGTGGGCTGCGAAATCGGTGCGGCCAGTTGCACGGCGAACTCCGCCACCTTCTTCCTCGTTGTCGTTGTGCCCACCACTACCGCCGCTTCCGTCTGGCGCAGCGCCGCTCTTTGGTGCCGTTGTTGTGCCGACCCACGTGCGCGCCGCCCCTGCTGCCACGATGGAAGAGGCGTGTGGATCTGCATCACCGCCTGCGCTGCCCCTCCCCTCGCTGAACTTGTGCTTCGTCAACCCACGCGGCGCCTATGCCTATCAGTACGATTTGGAAGCGCTGAATGTGTTGTGTCGTGCCGTGCACCTCTTGCACGCTTCGGTGTGCGTCGTTGATGCGGCGCAGAAGGCGGCGTTGATGACATGGATGCGCTGCTTTGTCCGCCCTGTCTCGACCACTAACGCTACTGCTGGTGCAGCTTCGTCCTTGGCAGCTGCTTGTCACGCAGACACCACAAATACCCCGGATGCTGCCGCAGCCTACTTCGAATACTCTTATGATGCGCTTGCGGAGGTCGAGAAGAGCTGCTTGATTTTAGAGGACTACGTGTACGAGCGCCATCGTCGTCTTCTGGCCGACAACGAAAAGGAGGAAGGAGAGGACACGGCAGGGGAGGAAGAGCGGAATGCCACTGTGCAAACGACAGCACAACCTCCATTGTCGTCTTGCGGCATCCTTGGAAAGGCTCGAGCAGGGGCCGTGCCGACGCGTGCGTGGTGTCACGACGCGCGTGTGCTGGCCTGGGCGGACTTCCTCGGACGGCGCCGCCTGGACGTCTTCACCTGTCCTCTCGGGGGCCCTTCACAGCGGAGTCCGGCCACAAAAGTGGCAGCAGCTGCGGCGCCGCCTTTGCTATTGAATGCGGTTCCTCCTTCATTTCTTTCGTACCTGCTGACGCGTATCGCGGACAGCGGGGTGGAGGCGGTGGAGCAGTTGTCGGGCACGATTCTGCAGATGGGGCGTCGACTGAGCGGGGGTTAAAGGATGTGGATGAACGGCGCGTATAGAAGAGAAAGAAGAGACAAGCAGTCAGGAACAATGCTCTATAAATACGTACAAGTGAATTGTATGAAGACTACCATCCTCACCATCAAAAAAAAAAACACGATCCTACAAACGAAGAATTCCGCCTCTGCCGCTTTCATGACGCATGAGGTGTGTTTGTGCTGGGTGAGAAGTGGAAACGCAAGCTTTTCGTGACTCTATCAGCCCTTCACTTTTGTTATTATTATCATTGCCAGAAAGGGAGAGGTGGGGAAGGGTGAGGAAGGGAGAGACGGAAAAGTGTGAGTTCGACCCCTTTGCCTCCTTCCCCCCTCCCCTCTCATCCTGTTTGAAGTGTTTTTGCACATTTATTCACTCCTGCAGATTCGTGCGTAAACTCCTTCGTTTTTTCCCCTTTTTTCCTGTTCTTGTTTCCGCTTCTCTCTTCCCTTGCTGCCATCGACATATATTCCTTTTCGATCGCGTGTGCCGTCGTGGATTCCTCGCGTGACATTCACACCCGCATCGATCGCTTCACCTTTTCAGCCAAGACAGCGACAGCGCATATACATATTCCTCTCTTCTGTGTCTCGCATTTTTTTTTTTAAATCTGTTGCTGTTTGTTGATGTCCGTGATCCAGCGCAAGAACTACGAGGCAGCTGTGGAGCTGCGGCACGAACTCCACACCCACCCCGAGCTCTCCAACGAGGAGGTGTGGACGAAGCAGCGCATTTTGGAATTCGTGCGCGCCCACACGACTCGCATTCAGTTTCATGACCGCGGCACGTGGTTCTACGGCGTGTACCGCGAGTCAACTCGGCAGGGCACTGCGGCGCAGACGCGCGACACGGTGATGTTTCGCGCCGACTTCGACGCATTGCCAATGGACGAAGTGATCGAACTGCCGTGGGCCTCGAAGATCGCCGGCAAGGCGCACAAGTGCGGCCACGACGGTCACTCTGCCACACTCGTGGCCTTCGCGATGGAGGTGGATGAGCGCGGTGCGGACAACGATGTCGTGTTCTTGTGGCAGCCGGCGGAGGAGGTTGGTAACGGTGCGGTGCAGTGCTTGCCGGTGCTGGACGCCGAGCACGTGACACGCGTCTTCGGCTACCACAACATGGCCGGCTTCCCGTACAAGTCGATTGTTGTGCGGGACGGTGTCATTCAATGTGCGTCTGTCGGCATGATCATCAAGCTCACAGGCACCCCTGCGCACGCCAGCCAGCCCGAAACGGGGAAGAACCCGTCCCTGGCGATCGCCACGCTGATCCAGCGCATCCCAGAGCTGACAAAAAACGCGAAGGAGCTGCTGCTGTGCACGGTGGTGCAAGTGAACGTCGGCAACCGCCAGTTTGGCATGTCGGCGTACTACGGAGAGCTGCTTATGACGATCCGTGCGACCTACGAAAACGAGTTGGAGGAGCTGAAGAGGAACTTGGTGCAACTGGCGACGGTGGAGGCGGCAAAGACGGGGCTGAAGTGCGAATTCGAGTACAGCGACGCCTTCCCCGAGACGCGCAACACGAAGGCCTGCGTTGACCACGTCCGCGCCGTCGCCAAGGCGCAGGGCCGTCTTGTACACGAGATGAATGCGCCTCTCCGTCCCTCCGAAGACTTTGGCCACTACGGCAAGCTGCGCCCGGCGTGTTACTTCTTCATTGGAAACGGCGAGAGCTACCCGCCCATTCACACTCCGTCGTACGACTTCCGCGACGAGGTGATTGAGGTTGGCGTGCGCATGTTCAAAGGATTGGCGGGTGTACACGACACACCACCCGCTTCTCTGTAATGAGAAGACATGCATGCCTGTGTGCAAGCGGCTTCTGCATCACCCTCTGGTTCAGTCTCTGGCTCTGCGAACTACACGGATACCTATCTATTTTTATAGTAAAGAGGAATGCCGTGATCTGCCCTCCGTCACGGTGTCATCTTTCCACTGCTATCGATTCTTTTTCTCTTCTTGCGAAACTTTGATTTGCTATTAACGGAAGTAGAACGAAATAAAACTGTCACACAGACACACACACTCAGAGACACATGAACGCACTTTCCGCTGCCTGTGCGTGTTAAAGAGCTCTATGCATTCGTTGCCTCTATTATTGTGCCTTCCGCCTTTTCTGGTTGTCTGGTGGTGGTGGTGGTGATGAGGGAGAGCCGGTGAAAAAATAATTTGTGCGTGACTTACACAATACACTTAGCCTTGCCAAGGGTTAGTTCAACTTTCTGTAGACTGTTTACAACGAATAATTCCCATGTGCATTTATTGTAGAACCTATTCTGGAGAAGCGAACGGCCCGCACACGCCCCTCCCCCCCCCTCCCCACGCCCTCGCAGCGAAGCTAGGAAAGTGGAAGTGGGACAGCAGAGTCATCTTTTTTTAAACGCCACTTGGAAAGAAAAAAAAAAGACAGCTGTTTCGTACCGGTCACGTAGTGCGCGTTGCCCATCTCTAACAAAACCTTCCTTTAGTTTTCCCTCCTCGTCCCCTCGTCCCTTCCTCCCCCCCCCCACACACACATACACACACTGAAAAACAAGAAGGGAAAAGGATTGAGACAGAATTGTGTTTTGCGTTCAAGTTTGGGTCGGTAGAAGGATCTTCTTTGGTTGTTGGCTGCCTTTGTCGAGAACCCCCCTAAAGCAAGGAGGAGCAGCTGACGGCGCTTTCATAAGAACTCCGCTGGCCAAGACGGAGCTCACGGAAGTCACAGGCGTGAAACACGCATCTTCACATAAATTACTTCTTCGTTTTTTTTTATTCTGTTTAATTTTGTTTTATGTTCTCTTTCATCGCTAGATCGGACGAGAGCGAATTCGAAATCTACTTTCATTCATGCCAGGACTTCTGCGTGCATCGTCGCGCTGCCTTGCCTCCTACCGCGATGGGAGGCGTCTCCTCGACGCGTATCAGCTCCTCATCACAAAGAAGCCCGTCGAGTACGACTACGTCGCCGTCGATATCAACTCCTTCTTTGGCGGAGCGCAGCGTCTCGCGAAGAATGTGGCGCCCGAAACGCGCCGGAACCGCGAAGTTGCGCGACACGTTGTGCACGCAATCCAGCAGCTGCTGCGCCGCATTGTGTGCAAACACTCGCTGCTGCTGGCGCTGGACGGGGCTGGCACCGCTGCCACCGTGTACAACTTTCGTCACAGTCCCCTCACCCGCCGGCAGGACACGCGGCGGCTGCGGCTGCCGGGCATGTCGATGACACGCACCGTCGAAGAACGCGTGGTGAAGGGGATGCCGTTTTCCCGCGGCCTCGTCCCCCGCGAGGTTGTCGTTGCCGGCACGAACGTGGCGGGCAGCGTGGAGCGGAAGGTGACGGCGTGGGCGCTCGACCTGGCCTGCCGCGACGGCACTCAGCAGCACACCACGCGCTCGCTCTGCGTGATCGGGTCTGGTACGCTGTGGCACACGATGCTGGGCCTGACCCCGTACTTTCAGGGCACCCACATCATGCACGGCTCGACCGACCTGCGACACTTAACGCTGAGCGACACGCTGACGTGGCTGCACCTGAGCGCGGCGGTGCAGAGCGGTGACACGTACGCCGTGACGACCGGCCGCATCGACGCGCTATTACTGACGTTGTTGTGCAACGGGTACGAGGTAACGGAGCTGCCGGCGCTGCCCGGGGCAAACTTTGTAGTATTGATGGACGCCTATCACCGTCGACGTTGCGCGGACAGCTCGACGAACGCGGCCGCCGCCTCGTCCCCCGCAGCGACCGGCACTACCCCTCATGCACACCTCAATGGGGCATCCCCGACTTCCCCGTCGTTTCAGCTGTTCCGTGAGATGCCCCACAACGTCTTGGAGGTGGACCTACTCGCCCTCTACCTTCTCTTTCTCCCCGAGAATGAAGTCGCGACCGCGGTGGCGGAGCTGACGAGTGACGTTGCTGCTGCTGCTGCTCCGTCCTCTCAGCCTACGCCGCCAGCAGCGACCTCGCGCGAACCGCCCAGGGACGCCTCTTATCTTTTCTTTGAGAGCTTCCTCTCCCACGTGCTCAGCACACATTACCTCCTCTGCTACGGCGAGACGACGGCCGACGCGTTGCGGGTGCCTTTTTACCTTACGAACTTCACCGATTCCTATACAACCACCACCTTTAACAGGGAAGACAGAGTTGTAGAGGGAGGGAAAAGCGAAGTCACTGGCGATACTACAGCTAGAAAACCTCGACACGTCGACGCAGACATAAATAGAAAAACAGAAGTCACGTTGTCCGTGAAGATGTGGGTCGAGTTTCTAAAGAAGTGTGTTCTTGATGGCAGGCGCTACCACGTGGTGAACTGCATTCCTCCTCCTTCTTCTTCTGCGGAGACACCGGCACCGGCATCGCGCACACCGACGATGACGATGACGGAGACAGAACTAACAGCGTCCGTGACCTCCCCTAACTCACGACAGCCCACGGAAGTCGCCTCAACGGAGGCGATCAGCACCACTGCCGCGCCGCCCGCCTCGTCGCCGTCGTTTTACCCCTTCTGGACTGTCCATCAGCCGTGGACAGCCGCCGAGTACACCCTCCTCTGCCAGACCCTCCCCAATCAAGTAGAGTCGCTGCTGAAGGAGTACCTCCCGAGCGTTGCGCACACGATCCAGGCCGAGTTTGTCCGCTACCTCACCTCCCAAAGTCTCAGCGTCGACGAGGCACGTCGTGCGGTGCAGCGTCTGTTTGCCCACGCCAACGTCGACGCGCCGCATCCGTCGCTGTGCCTCAGTCCATCCTATTACTGGGCACACAACGAGAAGTCGCGCATGTGGAGCATGCGCTACGTCGACCTCGGTGTGCAGGCGAGAAGATCGGACATCCGCCACGCGCGGAGTCTCCTTTCCGGTATGAATATGAGCCAGCAGCAGTCCGAAGAGGGCGCGATCATCTTTGACGCTGAGGCGCAGGCGTGGGCGCTACAGCCCACGTTCCCCCTTCCCACACACGACACCGCGACGGTATCCACAAAAGTTGACTTGGAGAAGGAGGGGGAGGGAGGAAAGAAAAAAGGCAGCTTCACCGCCGTGCTCCCCGCCGGTGCGGCACCGACGCTGAAGGTGCTGACGTGGAACGTGATGTTCGACCGGTACAGCAACCAGCCCACGCCACTCGGCATGCCGGGCATCGACTGGTGCTCTCCGAAGCGCTACCCCGTTTTGGCGAAGATCATCGCGGACGAAAACGCAGACGTGGTCGGGATGCAGGAGGTGGAGCTGGCGTTTGCGGAGTACCTGGCCGCGCAGCCGTGGTGCCGTGAGCGGTACATCATGTCTTGCCGTCCTCGCAGCCCCATATTGGACCCCTGGGGGGTGCTGCTGCTCGTCCGACGAGGCGAGGACGCGTGGCCGGTGCAACAGCTGATGCATTTGAATGTGCCGGCGTGGTCCGGCCACGTTTCGCTGATGCCCGTCGTAACGCTGGACTTGTCGAGCAAAGGGAGGCGACGCGACGGCGGCGACGCACGCCTGTCCACGTCGTCCGCCGCGGCCCGCACGTCGCGCCAGGTGAGTGTGTGTGCGATGCATCTGCTCGCCCCGTACCTGAAGGCACACGAAACGGCGAGAACGGGGCAGGATCAGGCCTTGCGGCACTGCCTGACCCGCCAACTGCACGGCGACACAATTGTGATGGGGGACTTCAACGACTGGCCGAGCAACGAATTCATCATGCCGGCCGAGACGCGCTACGTCGAGTGCTGGCCGATGGTGCGTCCGGGCGACTACGGCAAGACGATGGATGAGTCGAACACCTTTTGTAAGCTGAAGATCGAGGAGATTTTCTTTGGGCGCTCGGACAAGCTTTTCTTGCGTACCGGCGGCGGTTCGAGCAACGCGCCTCCGCTGCTGAAGCCGGCGGAGGCCCACCTGGTTGGCACGCGCAGCGTGAATGCGGAGAACGGCAACCAAGACGCTCCGGCGTACCTTTTCCCTTCGGATCATTACGGTGTAAGCATGACCTTTCAGGTGCTGCAACTCGGTTCGCAAGCGTAAGAACTCTGTGTGCCGGATGACAGTGCTTCTTGCTGTTGATGCTGCTCGCCGGATCAACGCGTACGATACGAGTGTCCGCTGCAGGCGTCACACAATGAAAACCAAGAAGGACATATATATGTACTGGAGTAATAGTAATTAGATGGTGAAGACTCGCTGCTAACAAGCTTCTCTGGCCTCTTCGCTACATCAGCTATCCGGCAGAGAGGGAAATGTGCTGTGCAAAGTGGAAGGGAAAGCGGTGAACTTGACAGTAGGCTCGCAGACGTTGATGCCGCTCAGTTCTCCTCTGATGGTCACAAGCGTCCTGCTGAATCAGTCGGTACGACCCCCCCCTCCCCCACACACACACACACGCAGATAAGAATAACAATAATAACGCAAACGTGCAGTACATCGTCCTTCTCCTTTCTTTTTCCCCTTTTCTCTATTCTCTCTTTTCCGCTTGTCTGCTGTCCATCAACTGTGTGCCGTCTTTTCGCTCTTCGACGTCGGGTAGTTTTTGCGAGGTTTTCAGGTGGCGCGAAAGGAGATACGCAGAGTACACACGTGTGTCTGTCTGTCTGTGTGCGTCTGTCTGTGTGTGTGTGTGTCAATTCGCAACCTTCTGTTTTCTTCAAACATATTTCGCTCATTGTAGCTGCCCACCTCCACGCACACATCGACATACAGTATTCTGCTTTTAATCGTCAAATCCGCGTTCCGTACAACATTTCAAGGCCTTCTTTTGCCGTCTCCCTCGTTCTTTGTTTGCGAGTGCAGTGGGAGTCTTATCGAAAAACAAACAAGCTAACAGCAAAAAAAAACAGTAAAAGAATGCTTCGTAGTTCACTCCCAGCGCTGCGGGCGGTCGCACTGACCGCGCCGCACTTCTCCTCGGTTATCACAACGGAGCAGTGCCGCGTCACATCCTCTGTTGCTCTTCGCGTCCATCGCAGCTCCTGCAGCGTCGCTCCGCTGTGGATGAGTGCTCGCTTCTACGCCGCCGTCACGGCGTGCCTCCACGCGCCGAAGCCGCATGACGTCGTCGGCGAGGCGGAGAAGAAGGCGGCGGAGCCACACGACGAGGCGGCCTTCGACTTCCACTTCGACCCCATGGCCGGTGTGCGCCACGACGCGGCGGTGGAAACAGCGAAGAAGCACGTCGACCACGTCATCGAGGAGCTCGCCCCGCCCAACGCCCCGCTTGAGGTACTGGCGAAGATACGCACCTACCTTGTGCAGCACCCCGTCGACTCCCTGATCTTGCTTGGGGAGGTGCAAATCACCCACATTGAGAACCCCGACACGGGTATCGAGGACCGCGTGCACCTTAGTCCGATGAAGACGAAGGACGCCCTCGAGCAGGCGCAGCTTCGAAAGATGAACCTCGTGCAGATGGGGGCACGCGGCAACGAGCTGGCCTACTGCCGCATCCGCCGTGAGCGACCGTGGATTCTGAAGCTGGTGCAGGCGGAGATGGTGCAGGCGGCGGGCGCGATGGGCGATCCGGCATCCATCACCGCGCCGTCCACCGCCACTCCACTCGCTGAGGGCGAGACGCCCACACCGGCATCGTCGCAGCAGCAGCAACAGCAGTCGCAGTACTTGGGGAAGACAAAGGCGCTGATTGATCACCAGTTCCGCGACGCGGTCGACACGCACTTCATCAGCTGGCGCAGCAAGAAGGTTGTGCAGGACATCCGCAAAGGTCACGTGGTGAAGCTTACGATCAAAGACTTCCAGAGCCCCGAGGGGGCCATTCACAAGCTGCGCGAGATGAGCAACGCGATGAAGACGTACGCCGAGACGGAGCACGTGTTCCACCACTTCACGAACATCGTGGCCAACGACCACGAGGCGAGTGTGACCTTTTCACCGCCGACGGCGAATAAGTCCGGCACCATCGCGAAGAGTGTGCGGCACCCAACGGAGAAGGATTGGGCGAGTGCGCTGACAAGGATGGAGGACGCGTGTCGGAAGGCGGGACGTATTGGAACGTACATGAAATCTGGCAGGCTGAAGATGCGCAACATAGGTGCCTCCACGTACCGCGTAGACAAGTACGGGCGTCGGGTGAGTTGAGGTTATGGAGGAAGGGAGAAGGAGAGGGTGGCGACGTCGAGGTAGGTTGATGAGAGCACAGTTTTTTCCCCTTTTCACGGATGAGGGGCGTGTGCTCTCTAAATACATGTAGCTTTAAAAAATATATCCATTTTTGCTGTCTGTTGATATATCGAAGCCTTAATAATACGGAAGTCAGGCGCAGCGAGCGCTCATCGGTAGCTTTCTGTGGCGTCCGAGATGCGATTGAGGTGCTGTCGAGGCAGCCATCGACGCCCGCCCACGATTTCGTTTCGGTGCGCTCTACCACCAGTGCGGGTCCGTGCCTTCTCTCTCACTCACTGTCCCGTCATCTCTCTTCCTAACGCCCCGTCTCTTTGGACCGCTTCCCCACCTTCGTCCACAGCAGCAGTTCTAATCAAAACAAAAGGGCTTTACTGACACGCACATACACACCCAAAGCAAAACTGTCGAGAAAGAGGAAAGTTTCCTTGGGCCGTCAACGCAAGTCTCCCCAGTCAACGTGAAGGGCGGCGCAGCGGCGAAGGAGCATTCATTATTTTTTTAAATATTTTTACTGTGTGCTTGGCTATAGACGGCGCCGAACATGACGTCGCCTATCACAAAGGACGCCTCAGCAGCGCAGAAGCCGCCGGCGCCGGTTGTTCGCCGAGGCCGCGGCACCTTCAAGCATCAACTACACACTGAAGAGCTCGAGCGGCAGAGCGCGGCTGCCGACGGACGTGCAGAAGAAGCCAGCACCATCATCACCGCGGCGACCACGACGGTCGTGCTGCCCTCCTCCTCGCTCGGGCCCAAAGCAACGCGACCCGTCACTGAGGAGGAAGAACTCGTAGCCCAGTATGCACACCTCAAAAAAGGCAAGGATATTCCCCTCGATGCCGTCCCTGTCATGCCGGCGGCCGGCGCCAGCAGTATCTTGGCTCCCGCCAGTGACACCAAAACAACTCGGGAGCGGATGATTGCGGCGGCCATCGCGGCAGCCGAAGCCCGCGCCAACGCCCCGCGCACGCAGTTCGGCCTCTTCGAGAACAACACCAACGACACGGCGCGGCAGCTGCTCTTCCGTAACGAGAAGCGTCGCCGCTACTGCGTTATTATTGGCGACCTGCAGAGCCAAACACGTCAGGTGACGCTGAAGCTGTTCGGCCACAAAGGGGAGAAGCCGTTCAAGCTGCAGAATAAACTCATCCGTTTGGTGAACTTGTCGATCGGGAAGCCGCGCCGTGGCACCGCGCAAGACCTCGCCGCGCGTGCGGAGCGAGAAGCGGAAGAAGAAGAGGAGGAGGCAGGGGAAGAGACGCGGAAGGAGGACGAAGACGAAGACGTTGTGTTGGACGCGGCGGCCCCAGACGGTACACCGGCGCTGGAGGAGATGCAGGAGAGCGGTGGGATGCAAGCGAGTGCCGCAACAGACACAATGGCGACCGCCACCGTGGCGGAGGAGTCGATGCGGCAGCGGGTCCTGCAGCGCGAAACGCACGCCGCCGCAGGCTTCGATGTTGACGAGGCAGTGCAGGACCCCCATCTCGCCGTCGCGCGTGATGAAGCGATGGAGAAAGTGCGGCTGGCTGCTGACACGGCCGCCGCTGCCGCAGATGCAGTACCGCTGCCGGAGAGCGACAGCGACACTTCAGCCGAAGAGGCCGAGCCGCCAAGCACCGCAGCGGCGGCGTCGATGACTGCCGCTGCTCTCCCTGCCGCTCCCCCACCGGTGTTACCCGCATATGTGCCGAAGAGCGACGCCGCTTCCTCTGCGACGCACGCCGATCCTGCGTCTACCGGCGTTACCGCCGCAGCCCCGCTACCACCCCAGGCCATCAACACGAAAAAGGTGCGCATCGCACACCACCTCCCGAAAGGGGCGGCCGAGGTGGAAGGCGAGAACGTGGACCACTATTTGGACGAGGACGAGGTGGTGCCACTCACGGTGCAGCAGGCCGGGACATCGACAAGCGTCATGTATGAGAACAGCATCGCGAACAGCCCGGTGCTGACGGCGCGACGCTTCTCCGCCCTGCACGACTACTTCCTGCGCGAGTTTCGCCTCCTCCTCAACCTGGAAGACGTACGCACGCAGAACGTGTCGGTGAAGATCAACCTCGGCGCCGCGTACTGCTGTCTCGCCCGGCAAGGCTCGTACTCCACCCCGCTCAAGCACGCCACGTTTGGTGAATTTGTGGAGCGCATGAACACCGAGTCGATGCAGCTTTACTTTATTCGCGACTGCCCTGCCTGCGTGTCGCGTGCGGTCGACATGGAGAGCGGCTCCCTCAACTTCCCAGCCAGCACGACCACCGTCAAGATCAACTTCTTCTCCAACGAGCGGCAGAGCCGCTCCATCGCACGCGCGGTATGGGACAGCGACGAGGACCAGTTCCGTTTGCTGGATGTCGAGAACATCGGCGTCACCTTTAACTGGTCGGTCTTCTCGTTGGATGAGACCTTCGTGCGGCGGAAGCGCGAGCTAATGGGGGAGGCGGCAGCGGCAGCAGCAACAACAATGGGCGGCGACAGCAACAGCAGCTTCGGCCCGAGCGCGGTGGGGCCTCCGTCAGCGAACGCAAGTTACCGAACGGCAGCAGCGAAGGTGCCGCCGCCGCCGGTTTATCGCTCCCCCGCTGCCGGGGCCGCCGCGCGAGCTCGCATCGGACCAGCCCCGGTGGGCATTGGCATGGACCTCGCGGCACCGGTACACCGCAACGACGACGACGACTCGGGTGCCCTGGCAGCCGCAGGGAGACCCGCTTCTGTCAGCAACGGAGGGGGTGTCGAGCACGCAACGGCAGCGACGGCACCGGCAGACTCGGATGCTCCGTCCCTCCACATGTCCTCCACCGCTGCGGCTGTGGCTGAGGATGACGACGACGAGGATGACTTGGCACGCAACAAGACCGTGGCCTACCCATTCGAGGTTGAATTTCGCGCCTTCCGGCGGTGGAAGCAGCAGGGCGACAACCCGGCCGCTCCGCTCGCCAAGGCCATTCTCGAGGAGCTCTCGCTGGCCGAGCACAACTATCTCAGCCACGGCTCCAGTGTTGCGTACGAGAGAATGGATCTCACGAACGTGTGCGAGGTGGACTACGCCGCGGACGACTTGAACGTGGAAAGCATCGTGGTGGAGCACACCTCGCGTGTGAAGCCGGAGGGGACGGATCTGTTTGTGGACAACACCACCTCTCTGTACATTGAGAACTTCGCCGCAGCACGTCAGCTGAAGGATAAGGTGCGCGCCTACGGTCCAGTGAAGACGGCCGCGATGCAGAACCCGAATAACAACAATAAAATGCACGCGATTTGCGCGGAGCGGCGTGCCGAGGGCCACGGCGGCAGCCGCGACGGTCTTCGCCTGACGCCGGAGGAGATGCGGGAGGTGCTGATGCCGATTTCAAAGCTGACCTTCTTCCGCTCGCGCGGCTCCACGATTCATTGGAAGCTGCGGCCGAATTGCAGTTTGGAGGAGAACATCGCCCCGATGACGGAGGCGCTGTCCTTCCTGCAGCAGGTGTTGCACACGGCGAACGATATTGAGCGGACGTCTGCGCGGGGTGGGGCGGCGCCCAACGCGCTGTAGTGTGTCTTCTTCCTCTTTTTCTTCTGGAATTGCTATTGTGCCGTTTTTCTTTACTATTATTCTTGTTATTGAGCGCTTTGTATGCGTGGTTCGTTGCGAGGAAAGGCTGCGTTGCTGCTGGGGACGGAAGATCTCGACTTTTCTTTCTTCATGTAGCTTTCTTTCTTGCTGTTGTTGTTTGTGTGCTTGTTGGTGGAGGTGTGCCCTCGCCAATGTCACCCACCTCGGTTTTGACGTTCTCTCTCCCGCGCTACATCTTCTTTTCTTTCATCGAACAACTGAGATGAAACGCTAAACTGGCCTAACATATATATGTGTGTGTGTGTCATACTGCAGTTAATAAATCGAAAAGAAAGAAAGGTACGCATCCTTTTTGTTGTTGTTGTGTATATTTGTTTTCGCTTTCGAAGTAAGAAAACAATGGTGCATCCGTCGCTGTCCTGATACTAGCAATTATTATTATTACTGATGCCCGTCTTCGAAAAATGTCTCTTCTCCTCTTCTGAGCCTCGCCTCCTCAATGAGGCGTGAAGCAAGAGGAGAAGAAGTTGCGTGTGCGGCTTGGGGGTTTGCCTTCTCTACCGCTGAAAGGAAAAAAAGAAAAAGAAAGAAGTTACACGCAACAGGAGGACACCTGCATGAGCGGCTTCTTTAACACCTTGCCGTAAACCAACTCCCACTTTACCTGAACTTGTGTCTTTCCCTCCTCTTTGTCGCTGACCTGTCTTTTTTTTCTTTCTGTATTCCTGGTGTTGCTCGATGTACATCTCTTAACTGTTATTATTATTATTATTATTATTATTATTATTATTGGGGTGTTTCGCACCGCGGCATCATACGGGTCTTCTCTGATCTCCAACATTCACAACCGAGCCGCAGTTACTTCACTCGTCCTCGTAAGATTCTTCTCTCTTATACGTAAAAGCTCCTCACGTTCTTCGTATTGCTAAAACCCACACATCGTTTATCTTCCCCTCTCCCTCTACCTCTTTCTCCGACCTCCTCACCATGTCCTCCGATCCCCAGGCGTACATCGAGCTGCAGAAGCGCATCGTGACGGTCAAGTCGATCTTCACGGAGGAGCTGTGCAGCGCCATGAATTTGATTCAGGTGGAGTGCCCAATGCTCGCCCGCGTCGGCGACGGCACGCAGGACAACCTTTCCGGTTTTGAGAAGGCTGTCCAGGTGCGCGTGAAGGACATCCCGGAGGCGAACTATGAGGTCGTCCACTCCCTCGCCAAGTGGAAGCGCAAGACCCTCGGCGACCACAAGTTTACCGTCGGCACCGGCATCGTCACGAACATGCGCGCCCTGCGTGTGGAGGACACGCTGGACAACATCCACTCCATCTACGTCGACCAGTGGGACTGGGAGCGGGTCATGCGGCCGGAGGAACGCACGTTTGACTTCTTGCACGAGGTCGTGAGCACCATCTACAGTGCCCTCCGCAGGACGGAGCAGCGCGTTTGCGAGGCCTTCCCGGACATCACCCCTATCCTGCCGGAGAATATCACCTTCCTGCACTCGGAGCAACTGCTGAAGGAGTTCCCCGACCTCGACCCGAAATCGCGCGAGCGCGAGGCAGTGCGCCGCTTCGGTGCCGTCTTTCTGATCGGCATCGGCGGTAAGCTGAGCCACGGCGACCGCCACGACGCCCGCGCGCCGGACTACGACGACTGGTCCTCGCCCTGCTCCGCCGACTCCTCCAAGATTGGCTTCCCCCCCGCGAGCGGCGAGAAGCCCTCCGTGGATGCCATCATGTCCCTCGAGGGTTTGAATGGCGACATCCTCGTCTTCAACCCGGTGCTTCAAGACGTGCTCGAGCTCAGCAGCATGGGCATCCGCGTTGACCCCGAAACGCTGCGGCGCCAGCTGGAGATCACGGGTGACAACGACCGCCTGCGCTACCCGTGGCATCAGCGCCTGTTGAACGGCGAGCTGCCGCAAACCATCGGTGGCGGCATCGGCCAGAGTCGCACGACGATGTTTATGCTGCGCAAGACGCACATTGGCGAGGTCCAGGCGAGCGTGTGGCCTGTGGAGACCGCGAAGCAGTTCCCAGTCCTGTAAAGCTCGAGGGAGGAGGTCGACGGCAGTTCAGCCTGAAAGTGATCAGATTGCTGCTTCTCACTCAGCTGGGGGAGAGTAAGAAATAAGGAAAAAAGAATTGCATGAAGCAATAGATGAAGAGTATTGGGAGAGGTGGAGAAGCTGCACCCAGCTGGTGCACGCGAGACGGCGGACAAGCAGCCGCGCCGAAGAGGGACGGTCAGAGCAGGAAGGACAGAAAATGAAAAAATGGGAGCGAGGCGTCAGTGAGTGGAGCGGAGAGAAAGAAAAATGGTCTAATTCGCAATTGGACTGACACACACGCTCACACATGCACTTCCTTTTACTAATCGCCTGTACCAATTGCACAGCTTCTTCGTTTGCTTCTATGTACGTGCTAGCAACGTGCGGAAGCGGAGCCAAAAAGAAAAAGATAAAAGCACAAATATATTTTGCTCCTTATTTACTCATATCTTTTTTTTTTCCAGGGGAGAAGTTAACGTGCGTGACTTCGTAGACGTCGCGAGTCCTCGTTTTCTTCTTCCTTTGTGGATACATTCGTTGCTTTTTTTTTCAAGTGTTCTTCCAGCGAGTCTGCGTCTGCTCGACCGTTCCGTCTTATTTCGGCCGACTTCGCCAAGGTTGCACGGGGAAGCCTTCCCCTATCTGTACCACTTTTTCCAGTGTATTTGCTGATGAACAGTCACTCAGGCTCTGCTGCTGTTTGTCGTTGTCGATGTTGTGTGTGTGTGTGTGTGTGTGTGTGCTTTGACCAAGGTAAAACGATGCCGTTTAGCAACTTTCAACTCGTGTGTTTTTACTTCTTGTTCTCCGTTGTTTTGCTGTATCGCAAGAGGCGAATTATCGCTATTTGTGTTGGGCTTCGTTAATGTTATGCACCGACAGCGGCTAAGTGGTTTTTCATTTTTCTTTTTCGTTCTTTCGGATGACACCGGCCCCGCTTCTGCTTTTGCCATCACGGGGTGTTCGTCAAGCACACGACGCAGAGCACGAGCCGCAACGCTCTTTCTGTGGATTTCGTTCCTTGTTCATCTCGTTTTCTGCCGCGTAATACTTTTCGTTGCTTTCCTCCTCCTCCTCTTTGTTGTCTTTTTTTTTTTGGCTCGCATGGTGATGGCACGTCTGCGCCTCTGCTCTTCCCGTTGCTGCCGTGCGATAACCCGCTTTCTGTCTTCCTCTCTTCCTCTCTTTCTCTCTGTTTTTTTTTTTCCTTTCATGTTTACGAGAGCAGACGTCACCAAAAAGACCGGAAAGGGGGAAGAGAAAAGAACCAGATGAAGATGAATCGAAAGGTCTGACGATCACGCTCGGTGTGGAAGCGAGAACAGAGTTGCGGTGCAAGAAAAAAGAGTTAATGCGCCTGTTGGCGTTTCGTCTCTTCTTTAACGCAGATTGTCACATCGAGAGACAGAACCGGCAGAAGGAGAAGGAAAGGAAGCCAGTCGAAGCTTCTGTATTATTCATTAATTCCGCCTAACGCTTTTTACTTTTGTTTTTTCTCTCTCAATACATAATACAATATAATTAACGTGTTGTATCATTTTAACTTTTTTGTTTTCTTCTCCACTGTTTGCCAGCGAGGTATTGTACGTTATCCTATACTGCCGCAGCGCGTGTTAGGCGTTGACTTTGCGTGGTAGACAACAGGTAACGGAGTCTGACACATAAAGGAGGGCGGGAGGGGGGGAGGGGGAGGGCACCCAAAGGGCATTGATTGGCGCTTGTTGTAGAGCGACACTTTTGTGCTCTTTGCGTGTTTCTCTTCCAGTTCCCTTCACCCCCCCCCCCTCCTTCTCTCTCTAGCCGAGCGCACTCGCCACGAAAACAAAGAGGTGATGAGAGATGCTCAATCGGGTTGTCAGCGCAGCGTGGCCGTTTTGTTTTGTTGTGAATGTTTGTTACGTCTTACCTCTCGAACTAATTCGCTTTGTTTCTTTTATTTATTTATTTCAAATGATGTTGATGACGGTGATGGCGGCGGCACGAGCTGACTTTGCGATGTTGCCAGTTTGGTGCGATGCAGCAGAAGTTGACAACCAAAACGCACACATCAAAATACGATCTTAATAACACGCTGCCTCGGCGTTGACGCGATCGCTTTCTTTCACTTTCTCTTTCGTAAAACTCGAAAAGAAAAAGGAGGAAACACAAAGCAGGTGATGGCGGGGGAAACGAGGACCTGGTGTGCGTTGATGTGTGTGTCTATCGGTTCTGTCGTCATAACCAGCAGAACGCCCACACACGCACATGTGGAGAACAGTGCCCTGCCTACCCGAGAGAAGATGATGGAAAATAAAATGAACAGTAGCGACTGAAGAAATATGGAAAATGTAGATGGAGCGTGGAAGCATAATTAATCGTCGTAATAATACCCAAGAATATCTTCCTTTAAAACTCTTTTTAAGAAAAAACGAGCCTCGTCTGACATGCGTGAGGGTTCGACAACTACGAAGCACAAACCTCGACATGCGGCACAAACATGGATATCTATTCTTCTTCCTCCCCTCGCTGAACCGTAATTTGAGGTAATGGCGTACGTGCACACCCACCGTTCTTTTCGGTGTACAGCTTGCTGCTCCTCGGCATCGCAGTCGCTGTTGGACGCTGTGGGCTCTGCACGCGTCGATGAGGGAGACCAAACGGGACAGGAGGACGCTTAATGCTCGTCTGAGGTTTCATGCTAAATCGATCGGTTTCCACTTTCTCCAACTCTCTTTCCTCCGGTACGGCGCGCCTTTCTGTTTTCTGTTTTCTCTTTCTTTTATTTCGAGCAGTGAACAAAACTCAAAGACATTTTTCCCGCTATCGTGCTTCCTTCTCAATTTCTCTTTTTTTTGCATTCCTTTCAGCATTGCTGCGCTCACGATCATCGCGCTTTTCAGAAAAAGAAAACAAACATCATGTCTTCCATCTACGACTTTAAGGTGAACGACGCGGAGCACAAGCCGTACGACCTCACGCAACACAAGGGCCACCCCCTGCTGATCTACAACGTGGCCAGCCAGTGCGGCTACACGAAAGGCGGGTACGAGACGGCCACCGCGCTCTACAACAAGTACAAGGACCGCGGCTTCACGGTGCTTGCGTTTCCGTGCAACCAGTTCAATGGGCAGGAGCCCGGCACGGAGGCAGAGGTGAAGGAGTTCGCGTGCACCCGCTTCAAGGCTGACTTCCCGATAATGGAGAAGATCGACGTGAACGGCGACAAGGAGCACCCACTGTACCACTACCTGAAGCACGCACAGAAGGGTCTCCTCGGTAGCACGTCCGTGAAGTGGAACTTTACGGCGTTCTTGGTGGACAAGGAGGGCCACGCCGTGCACCGCTTCTCGCCCGGCGCGAAGACGGAGGAAATCGAGAAGAAACTGCTGCCCCTGTTCGACGATGCGGGCGCGAACACCGACAACTAAGAGTTGCGGACCTTTATTACTCCACTATTATTATTCTACTATTATTTATTTATTCTGTTGCGTTCCCTCTCCTCCTGTGAACAAACACGAAACAGTTTGTGTTGTTTGCGCTAGCGAAAGGGGGAGACTTTTCTTTCCCTTTGCTAGATGTCCTCGCACTTCTTTCGCTCAGCAACGCGGTGCAGCTGACCGCCCTTTTACATCTTCTTTTCGCACATTTGCGCTTATTTTCACGGACAATATATTTTCTTATATACACGCCTTCTCCTCCTTGCCAGCTTCATGGATCATTATGCGGTGGGGTATTTTCCATTTATGTTCGTTTTTTATTATTTCTCTCTCCCGGTGCTTCTCGCTATACCTATTTAGCGTTTTATTGCTACCCGTTCTCCTGGCCGCACCTGTCGCATTCCACGAACTGAAGGCAAACATACCACTACATCCGGTTCTTCCAAACATGAGTTCTCACATATATAAATGTATCTGCGTGTGAGTGGGTATCCGAGTGTATCAATAATTGCCGGCATCTGCGTGTTGTGGCTGCAGAGGAACACTTGAAAAGGGGGAGAAGAGGTTAGTCAGAGTTTCCGGCGATGTCCGATGGGCGTTGCGGTGTTTATGTCCCGACGCAACGGCGTTTGAAAACGAAAGGCTGATTTCGTTGTTTTCACCTCACTCTTTCCCGGTCCCACGTGCTGTGGCGCATGCGCTGATGAAACATAAGAAGCGCCGTCAAACGGCGAGACGCTCTTCGAGTGCTTCGTCAAGGCTGTTTGCTGCGGGCAGGTCAGCTGTCACTTCTCCTCCCACTCTGTCCTGCTATATTGGTGTCCTGCTGCACTGCTCTTACACTCCCGCACGCTCTCCCTATCCGTGTCATCGTTGTTTTGCGTGCTGAAGGACAACCGGCTTTTGATCACTTCTATTTCCTTGTGCTATACAGCGTCACACCAATTGCTGCCTTTTATACGTCTATTGAAGAATTGAACTTCACCGCCTTTTCAAAAAGCATCATGTCTTCCATCTACGACTTTAAGGTGAACGACGCGGAGCACAAGCCGTACGACCTCACGCAACACAAGGGCCACCCCCTGCTGATCTACAACGTGGCCAGCCAGTGCGGCTACACGAAAGGCGGGTACGAGACGGCCACCGCGCTCTACAACAAGTACAAGGACCGCGGCTTCACGGTGCTTGCGTTTCCGTGCAACCAGTTCAATGGGCAGGAGCCCGGCACGGAGGCAGAGGTGAAGGAGTTCGCGTGCACCCGCTTCAAGGCTGACTTCCCGATAATGGAGAAGATCGACGTGAACGGCGACAAGGAGCACCCACTGTACCACTACCTGAAGCACGCACAGAAGGGTCTCCTCGGTAGCACGTCCGTGAAGTGGAACTTTACGGCGTTCTTGGTGGACAAGGAGGGCCACGCCGTGCACCGCTTCTCGCCCGGCGCGAAGACGGAGGAAATCGAGAAGAAACTGCTGCCCCTGTTCGACGATGCGGGCGCGAACACCGACAACTAAGAGTTGCGGACCTTTATTACTCCACTATTATTATTCTACTATTATTTATTTATTCTGTTGCGTTCCCTCTCCTCCTGTGAACAAACACGAAACAGTTTGTGTTGTTTGCGCTAGCGAAAGGGGGAGACTTTTCTTTCCCTTTGCTAGATGTCCTCGCACTTCTTTCGCTCAGCAACGCGGTGCAGCTGACCGCCCTTTTACATCTTCTTTTCGCACATTTGCGCTTATTTTCACGGACAATATATTTTCTTATATACACGCCTTCTCCTCCTTGCCAGCTTCATGGATCATTATGCGGTGGGGTATTTTCCATTTATGTTCGTTTTTTATTATTTCTCTCTCCCGGTGCTTCTCGCTATACCTATTTAGCGTTTTATTGCTACCCGTTCTCCTGGCCGCACCTGTCGCATTCCACGAACTGAAGGCAAACATACCACTACATCCGGTTCTTCCAAACATGAGTTCTCACATATATAAATGTATCTGCGTGTGAGTGGGTATCCGAGTGTATCAATAATTGCCGGCATCTGCGTGTTGTGGCTGCAGAGGAACACTTGAAAAGGGGGAGAAGAGGTTAGTCAGAGTTTCCGGCGATGTCCGATGGGCGTTGCGGTGTTTATGTCCCGACGCAACGGCGTTTGAAAACGAAAGGCTGATTTCGTTGTTTTCACCTCACTCTTTCCCGGTCCCACGTGCTGTGGCGCATGCGCTGATGAAACATAAGAAGCGCCGTCAAACGGCGAGACGCTCTTCGAGTGCTTCGTCAAGGCTGTTTGCTGCGGGCAGGTCAGCTGTCACTTCTCCTCCCACTCTGTCCTGCTATATTGGTGTCCTGCTGCACTGCTCTTACACTCCCGCACGCTCTCCCTATCCGTGTCATCGTTGTTTTGCGTGCTGAAGGACAACCGGCTTTTGATCACTTCTATTTCCTTGTGCTATACAGCGTCACACCAATTGCTGCCTTTTATACGTCTATTGAAGAATTGAACTTCACCGCCTTTTCAAAAAGCATCATGTCTTCCATCTACGACTTTAAGGTGAACGACGCGGAGCACAAGCCGTACGACCTCACGCAACACAAGGGCCACCCCCTGCTGATCTACAACGTGGCCAGCCAGTGCGGCTACACGAAAGGCGGGTACGAGACGGCCACCGCGCTCTACAACAAGTACAAGGACCGCGGCTTCACGGTGCTTGCGTTTCCGTGCAACCAGTTCAATGGGCAGGAGCCCGGCACGGAGGCAGAGGTGAAGGAGTTCGCGTGCACCCGCTTCAAGGCTGACTTCCCGATAATGGAGAAGATCGACGTGAACGGCGACAAGGAGCACCCACTGTACCACTACCTGAAGCACGCACAGAAGGGTCTCCTCGGTAGCACGTCCGTGAAGTGGAACTTTACGGCGTTCTTGGTGGACAAGGAGGGCCACGCCGTGCACCGCTTCTCGCCCGGCGCGAAGACGGAGGAAATCGAGAAGAAACTGCTGCCCCTGTTCGACGATGCGGGCGCGAACACCGACAACTAAGAGTTGCGGACCTTTATTACTCCACTATTATTATTCTACTATTATTTATTTATTCTGTTGCGTTCCCTCTCCTCCTGTGAACAAACACGAAACAGTTTGTGTTGTTTGCGCTAGCGAAAGGGGGAGACTTTTCTTTCCCTTTGCTAGATGTCCTCGCACTTCTTTCGCTCAGCAACGCGGTGCAGCTGACCGCCCTTTTACATCTTCTTTTCGCACATTTGCGCTTATTTTCACGGACAATATATTTTCTTATATACACGCCTTCTCCTCCTTGCCAGCTTCATGGATCATTATGCGGTGGGGTATTTTCCATTTATGTTCGTTTTTTATTATTTCTCTCTCCCGGTGCTTCTCGCTATACCTATTTAGCGTTTTATTGCTACCCGTTCTCCTGGCCGCACCTGTCGCATTCCACGAACTGAAGGCAAACATACCACTACATCCGGTTCTTCCAAACATGAGTTCTCACATATATAAATGTATCTGCGTGTGAGTGGGTATCCGAGTGTATCAATAATTGCCGGCATCTGCGTGTTGTGGCTGCAGAGGAACACTTGAAAAGGGGGAGAAGAGGTTAGTCAGAGTTTCCGGCGATGTCCGATGGGCGTTGCGGTGTTTATGTCCCGACGCAACGGCGTTTGAAAACGAAAGGCTGATTTCGTTGTTTTCACCTCACTCTTTCCCGGTCCCACGTGCTGTGGCGCATGCGCTGATGAAACATAAGAAGCGCCGTCAAACGGCGAGACGCTCTTCGAGTGCTTCGTCAAGGCTGTTTGCTGCGGGCAGGTCAGCTGTCACTTCTCCTCCCACTCTGTCCTGCTATATTGGTGTCCTGCTGCACTGCTCTTACACTCCCGCACGCTCTCCCTATCCGTGTCATCGTTGTTTTGCGTGCTGAAGGACAACCGGCTTTTGATCACTTCTATTTCCTTGTGCTATACAGCGTCACACCAATTGCTGCCTTTTATACGTCTATTGAAGAATTGAACTTCACCGCCTTTTCAAAAAGCATCATGTCTTCCATCTACGACTTTAAGGTGAACGACGCGGAGCACAAGCCGTACGACCTCACGCAACACAAGGGCCACCCCCTGCTGATCTACAACGTGGCCAGCCAGTGCGGCTACACGAAAGGCGGGTACGAGACGGCCACCGCGCTCTACAACAAGTACAAGGACCGCGGCTTCACGGTGCTTGCGTTTCCGTGCAACCAGTTCAATGGGCAGGAGCCCGGCACGGAGGCAGAGGTGAAGGAGTTCGCGTGCACCCGCTTCAAGGCTGACTTCCCGATAATGGAGAAGATCGACGTGAACGGCGACAAGGAGCACCCACTGTACCACTACCTGAAGCACGCACAGAAGGGTCTCCTCGGTAGCACGTCCGTGAAGTGGAACTTTACGGCGTTCTTGGTGGACAAGGAGGGCCACGCCGTGCACCGCTTCTCGCCCGGCGCGAAGACGGAGGAAATCGAGAAGAAACTGCTGCCCCTGTTCGACGATGCGGGCGCGAACACCGACAACTAAGAGTTGCGGACCTTTATTACTCCACTATTATTATTCTACTATTATTTATTTATTCTGTTGCGTTCCCTCTCCTCCTGTGAACAAACACGAAACAGTTTGTGTTGTTTGCGCTAGCGAAAGGGGGAGACTTTTCTTTCCCTTTGCTAGATGTCCTCGCACTTCTTTCGCTCAGCAACGCGGTGCAGCTGACCGCCCTTTTACATCTTCTTTTCGCACATTTGCGCTTATTTTCACGGACAATATATTTTCTTATATACACGCCTTCTCCTCCTTGCCAGCTTCATGGATCATTATGCGGTGGGGTATTTTCCATTTATGTTCGTTTTTTATTATTTCTCTCTCCCGGTGCTTCTCGCTATACCTATTTAGCGTTTTATTGCTACCCGTTCTCCTGGCCGCACCTGTCGCATTCCACGAACTGAAGGCAAACA